CTGTGTCGGCGGGCTCCCGTCCGGGGCTGGTGCTCTCCACGGGGCCTTCTCCTGATGGCAGCTCGGCGTTCTCGTTCCACAGGGTGGGCACGGGCTCCTGCGGACCTTCGGCTGCAAGGCCAAGGACAGGCGATGGGGCCCAGGCGACAGGGCTGATAGGCACATTATCCCCCTCACCCCAGGTTAACCAACTCAGAGAGGAGGAGCTGTGTGCGCGCGCGGGGGGGTGGGGGGGAGGACAGCACTACACTATCCCTCCCATTCCACAGGCGGGGCACCTTCGAAATGGCTTTGTGTCTGTCCCCACAGAGCCCTCTCTGGGCTAGCTCAAGTGAGGACAGATTAATGGAGGGAGGGGGCTAGTAAGCGACCAACAGGCCGCAGAAGGCTGTGAGAATCCTGGGTCGGCAGCAGAGGCAGGGGACAGGGGCCCAAACCCCAAGACCTTGGGCAAGGGCTTGGCCTCTCCTATCTGAATTGCCGGGCTGTGTGGGCCTAGGTGAGGTGACCCTTGTGAGGGATCCCCTGCCATCACAGGGCAGACACACGTCAGCCTTCACCCTTGGGGAAGACACCAGGACCCATGAGGGCTCCACTGCCCCAGGGAATGGAACAAGAGGTGGGCCCTGAACTGCAGGGGCACAGGCACCCTGCTTCTCCTCCTTGGCCCTCCTTGGACCAAGCATGCAACCCACAGGCCACAGAGTCCAGCCCAGGGGACTCTATATCCGAAGAAACTGAAGCCCTCACATGGCTGCCTCCTGAAGGGCAGGGTGGAGGGGTGTCTGGCCAGTGAAAGGGACCAGACAGGGTAAGGGAGGCCTCTGCATAAGCCGTTTTGCAGTCAGCACATGAGGCCCTAGGCAGCTTTTCTGCAAGAGCCCTTCTCTGCTCATGGGGTTGGGAGTTAGCAAGGTTTGGGGCACTCGGGGACCCCAGAGAGTAGGAAGGAGACATTCTCAGGGCTCACAAGAAGGGAGGCCTGCATGACAACCTCAGTTCCGTACCCCCATCAGCCAGGCCACACTAGTTGCACTCCCCACCCCAGCCCTGGGCCTATCCATCCTTCTTAGTAGAGTTCAAGACCAGAATGGTAGACAGGCTCTAGGCCTTTTTCCACCCTAGCCTGACCATCTGACATTCTACTGTGCCCTTATCTCAACTGTGATCAAGACTGTGATCCCAAGACCTGTGCCCTCATCTCAACTATGATCAAGACTGTGATCTCAGGCAGGTCCCTAGGATGGGCTTAGGGGGCATCATGACACACTTTCTCTTCCTGTTCCAACTATGCTGTATTGTGGGAACTACAAGAGAGGACCTCAAAAAAAAAAAGAAAAAATCCAGAAGTATCTTTTGGAGGGCATACCCTTTATATTACAGGCTTCCCCCATTAGGTAAGTGTTCCAGGAACCCATCGGCATCAGTATACCATCTAGTGTTGTGAGAGGCTGCGTTTGGCTTCAGTGAATTTTTTTTTTCTTGGAGATTCTTTCAACATATTTGCCTGTTTCATGATGGGTGATTTACAAGCACACCTGCCCACACTGCACCGAGTGTTTAGCGACTTTTGGCCAAAAATGGCATGACCCCATGTCCCATCTTCCCCATTCACCTGATCTGGCCCCGAGCAACTTTGTTTCCCTGATGAAAAAAATCCCCAAAGGGAAATGTTCTGCCATTTGTGTAAGAGGTGAAACAAAAACGACAAAAGCACTAAAAGGCATCAGAATTGTTGAGTTCAAAAACTACTTTGAGCAGCAGAAAAAGTGTCTTGATAGGTGTATTGTATCAGAGTACTTTGAAGGTGACTGAAGTTTAAACATGTAAGAATAAATACACAATGTTTTAAAAATAAATTTCGTTTGTGGGGGGGGGGGTTCTCTCTTATATCTTTATCTGTCTTTCAGAGCCAAGACTCAAGTTCAGCTAAGGTGGGCCATGGTGGTACACGCTGGTGGTGGTCTGAAGCCCCTGGATGATGCAGTAACAGGCTGTGCTTCCCAAGAAATGTTCAGGGAAGCTACAGTTCTGCTAACTGCCCTGGCTGGCCCGTGTCCCTGTGGCTCTGTCCCTTAGCACCGGGGCAGGAGCACAGAGTCAAGTCAGACACACAGCCTGCTCCTAGGCTCACCAGCTCCCAGATAGCAGATACTTGAGAAGACACAGATAAACTTCTGAAGTTTTCCTACCATGGTGCCCACCTAGGACAAACCACGAGGAAGGGTCAGTCTTGAAATAACCAGGCCTTTTAAAAATGCCAAAGTCCAGAAAGACAAAGAAAAACTGAGGAATTGTTCCAGATGAGAGACTAAGGAGAAAACCAAATGCAAGGTGTGTTCCCAGATGGGGGTGGCAGGGAGGCAATGCTATAATAGACTTCTGGGACCCAGTGGTGGAATGTGAATAAGGCTTTAGCTTAGCACTGCATCAGAGTTCACGTCCTGGTTTTCATGGCTGACTCTGGTATATAAGAACGTGCCCTTGTTCTTAGGAAGAATTCAGGGGCAAAGGGGCATGATGTTTGCAACTTATTCTCAAAGGATTTGGTATTCAGACAGACAGAGAGGAGCAGTGTGGCAAAATGGTAGTAATCAGTGAATCTAGGTGAAGAGTCCATTGGAGTTCATGGGATTGTTTTCACAGCTTTTCTATAAACTTCACTTCTTTTCATGATAAAATTTTATCAGGTCCCTGGATCCCCAGGACCTGCCCCTGCAGCCTCTCCCAAGCCTGGATCAGTTCTGAATGTGACCCCTATCACATTCCCTAGGGCTGACCCAAGCCAGAACCCTGGCAAGGAGACCCCCCCCAGTGTGGAAGGTTCATTGATGCCAACCCGGTGGAGCTTCTTCCCTCCGCAGAGCCTAAGACCATCCCAACCTCGAAGATCACTCTGTGAGGAGGAGAAAGTGACCCAGCCAGACCTTCCATGTTGCAGCCAGGGAGGGCAGGAGCCCCATGGAAGGCTCCAGGTTCCAGGCATGCTTACCTCAGGCTCCCAGGCCAGGGCAAAGAAAAGGCCTGAGTGTGCCTATGGCTTGGCAGCCCCTGAGGTCTGGGACTGGCAGACTGCCTGTCTACCCAGAGAAATGGACAAACCACTGGCCCCTGCTTGCTCCCCACACCCCCAAGACAGACCGACAGGCAGGCATCTCCCTGTCCACCACTGCCAGCCAAAGTTCACCTTGGACTGCCAAGCATCTGACCAAGGAGTCCTCCACAGGGTGGTGGGTGACCTGGGCAGCTGAACTGGGTTGTATTTGCAGGAATCAGCCCTGAGCTCAGGAGTGACAGGCCCCAGCACCCCTGAGAAGGCAGAGCTCACGTTCCCCAAAGCAGCCACCCTTGTGGGGAAGCAGCGCTCTGAACAAGTCAGCTGGGAGCCACACTCAGGCTCTCCCCACATCTGTACCCCATGACCCAAACTCTCTGCTGCTCCCCACATAGGCTTCAGCCCTCCCCACACACACCTGCCCAGACCACCTCCTCCCTGCTATTTACAACCCCCTCCTGCCCAGCCAGTCCCTGAAGCTCCAGGAGCTGGATCCATTGGCTTTCAAATCAGGGTAGCTGGGTCCTAGCCTAGCACCATCACACTCTCTCCCTGGGGCCTCAGCAGAAAGATTTCACTCCCTGACATCACCTTCGTGACCTATGAAACCGGGGTTCAGGCCATGCTGCTAAGCATCTTGCACAAGGAGGAAACTATAATCATCACCATCCTCAGCTGCTGCCTCCAGCCCGGGGACAACCCTAGACATAAGCCAAGCTGCTGTGTGCCTGCGGCTGCTGGCTATCACAGGAAACCCTCCAAGACTGGCCCAAGGCCCATCTGCACCCAAATAACCAGGGACCAGCCAGCCCCCTGCAGACCCAGACTGGTGCCCCGGTGGCAGACACACGCCCAGAACCACAGCCTGAGTTCAGCCACCACCCACCGGCAAACGAGGGGTGGCTGCTGGGCAGGGGCCGAGGCATTTTATCCTCCTCTCTATTTCTGTATTTCCTAAATTTGCTGTAGTAAGAAGGAGAAGCAGAGCTTAAAGGCAATAACCTGTCCTCCCCCAAACTCTCTCCTTCTTGGAAGTCCCAAACAGAAGCAATCATCAGCCAATTTGCCAGGAGGGGTGAACACGGGGCAGGAGCAAAGGCTTGGAGGATGGAACCCAAGGGCTTGTCAGGCGAGCTGTGGGTAGAGGCCGGGGTGACAGAAATTGAGGGTGAGAAGGGGGAAGACCACGTAGGACACCAGAAGCTTCCATCCACCTTGGCCATGATGAGACCCAGACTCCACGGACCAGAGTGAGCAACGCGGTGCAGCTACACACACTGTCCGAGGCAACCAGGGGAAGCGGGGCCTGGCAGCACTGCCATAAGCCTGGGCACCTCAGACTCTCCCCGAGCCCTGCTGCCCCCAGCCAGCCCGCCTTTCAGTAAATAAGTTTGTTCAACGCTCAGCCTGACCACAGGGCCCTGAGGCTAGGCGCCCTTGCTCACAGACGGCCTTTGTGCGGGTCATGAAGGGCCTTTTCATCCCCGCCCTGGCCTCCCGCCCGCTCAACCTGGCCTGCCCCCCCCATCTCGGTAGCTGCGGCCACAGGCACCGAACAGGGAGGGCAGTTGGCTGGGCCTGGGTCTCAGCCCACGGGGCCACACCTTCCCTCTGTCTACTACAGGACCCCAGCCCACAGAGCAGAAGGCCTTGTACACACCTGCTCAGAGCTTCTAGCCCAAGGGTGCCTCCCAAATACCCTCCCAGAAGGGCAACAAAAACAGCAGCCAGAACCCAGAAGACTCCAGGGTGAGGTTGGCAGGCTCTGATCCCCCTGCCCCTTGGGGCCTGTCTTCTCTTGGTAGGATACGTGAGGGGAAGAGGGGAGGGGTGAGGCCAGGCAAGGTCCTGGCTGTCCCCAAACCATCCTGTGGTAGCTGACGAAGCCCACCCACCCATGTTGTGTGGGTACAATGTGACCTGGGCCTCTGGCTGGGGGCCTGAGCTGGGAGAGTTGACTGCACAGCAGGAGCCAAGCAAGGAGCTGCCAGGCAGCCCCAGGCCCCTGGCAGGCAGGAGCTAGAGCCTCCACCCCCTTGGGCCACCGGGAGGGAGGAGCAGTTTCATCAGAGCAGGGGGAACTGCAGGGATCACAGCCCCAAGTTCCAGGTGATGGAAGATACCACCTTCCACTTTAGGTGCCTTCCCCCAATTCCTGGGGGTACCACGCCAGCTCCCACCGGAAGGGAGGCGGGGTGCCTTTCCAGCCTGCAGGAGGGGTAGCCTTGCCTGAGATTACCCTGTGCTCAGGGAAGGGCTGGGGCCCTTGAATGTTCATTTCCCTAACATTTACTGAGCACTAACTGGATGCCTGTCCTGTCCTGAAAACTCCACATGGCTGAACATGTCGGCCTCACAGACCCTCTGCGAGGAAGGCAGAGCATGGTGGGCATTGCCATCCTACAGATGAGAAGGCACAAAGAGATTAAGAAACAGCCAGGCAGGGACTGAGCCAGAACAAACCCAGTCATAAGCTTCTTCCTGGGGCATCTAGAGAGAGGCCAGCAGGCCCCAGGACTCTTTGCTGTCACCTATGCCTTTCCGATGTGCAGCTGTGAGGGGCCACACACGACTGAGGTCTACTTCCCTCCTTCACAGATCCACAGACACCCCCCAAAGCTCAGGCTGCAGGGGTCTAGAAACAGTCTCCAGGACACAGAGGCAGGCTACCCTTCAGCCCAACTCTTGGCAATGGAGATTGCTTGCTTTCAGGAGCAAAGACCGCCTGTGACCTGTCTATGCCTTTTCTCTCAGGCTTCGAAGCCAGCCTGGGCCAGTCCTTCCCAAGTGCAGGGCAACCTGGGACCCTCCTGGGTGATTCTCTCTCACCAGATCCCAGACTCGACCATTTTGACCGCAGTCCAGAGCCTAAGTTCAGTGTCCACACCATTGTGGGGAGGGATCTTGGGCCCTGTGCTTTTTCTCAAAACTATTCCCAAGATAGAGACAGTACCTGGGTCTTCATTTTCTAAGGACATTGCAGAAAACCAGCAGAGAAGTGTTGAAAAGTCAGCAAAGGCTGTGTGGTCTTCCGTCCGGGGACCTGGGACCTCTGACCCCTCAGCTTCATGCCCTGTGCCTGGTGCCCCCTTCTGCCTCCCTATCTGGACACCATCAGATTTTAAAATGCTAGGGTAATCCCCCATGTTCCCCCGACAGCTAAACATCCCTGGGCCCAATCCCCAAGTCATCCTGCTACTTCAGAGGCTATCATCCCTGTTGCTAACAATTCCCTGAGACATCTGTCCTGCACAGCTGCTGCCAGTTAGTTTCATGGGAGCTCCTTAAAGAATCATCCCAAATGGCTGCCCCATCTCCCATGAGGGGCTTCCACTCACTGAATATTGGAGAGTCTGGCTCCAGCGTAGTTCTGGGCCCTGAGAAGCTGGTGACGGCCGAGCCGAGGGCCCACACCCCTTACCTGTGAGCACCGCAGGGGCCAGGACCCCAGAGACCAGCAGCAGCGCCATGCGCAGGGCCAGACAGGATGCCATCCTGGCTGGAATGAGCACGGCCAGCAGGCGGGATGCACAGAGGACTGAGCTGGTTAACTTCAGGGCAGCGGGAAAGAGGCATCAAAGGGCTGGGAAGGGTTTTCATCAATGCAAACTCTGTCCTCCTGGGACACCGTGCCCGCCCCCCACACGCTTGCGCGCAGAAGACACACACACACACACACACACACACACACACAGAGCAAAAGTTTACAGAACAGACCTGCTTTCCTGACCTGCTCCACCCTCAGAGAGGGAAAGAGAAAATTTCTCTCTCTCCCCCCCCTCCTCCACCCCTAGCGCCCCTCTGTCTCTCACATGGACCACTGAAAGTAAGTGAGAGGTTTTCAAACTTCCTTGTGCAAAAGAATCACCCAGGGAACTTAAAAAAATGCAGGTGTCTCTGGCCACTCTGTTTCCGTGGGTCTTGGATGGGCCCAGGAATCTGCATTTTAGTGCCTGTGGCCCAGGCTCTGGGAGACTCAGTCTTAGGCAGTCAGCACTGAGTGCAGGCTGGCTGTGCTCACGTCTGGGTTCTTCGTGCCCAGCCAAGAGGAGGTGCTCAACAGTGCTGGGTAAAAAAGCACTTTTAAAGCAGTTTTGATCCCCTCTGTGGCAGCTCTAGCTTTCCAGACAAGTTCATGTCATTAAATGCCTACATCCTCTTTTGCTCTTTGCCTCCCAGGCACTCTCCTCTGGTCCAGCACACTAACAGGGCTCCCTTGTGCCCACCCCAGTCACGCTGTCTTCTACTACCGTAGACTTAGGTGTCTACTTGTGAACTTCAAATAAATGGACTCATCTGATATGAACTCTCGTCTGGCTTTTTTCATTCAACACTCTGAGATTCATCCACGTTGCTGCATGTAGCAGGTCATTTGTACCGCTGAATAGTATTCAACTGTATGAATATGTCCAATTTATCCATTCTTTTATCCATTTGTCCCCTTTATTTATCCATATCCATTTGGGTTCTTGCCAGATTTGAGCTTTTATGAATACAGCTTCTATGAACATTCTTTTTTTTTTTTGAGTCAGAGTCTCACTCTGACGCTCAGGCTGGAGTACAGTGACACACTCATGGCCACCACAGCCTCGACTTGCTGGGCTCCGGCAATCCCATAGCCTCAGCCTTTCAAGTAGCTGGAACTACAGGCATGCGCTACCATGCTCGGCTTATTTTTTGATTTATTATAGGGACGCGGTCTCACCAAGTTGCCCAGGCAATCTCACTTAGGCGTTCCAAGATGCTGGGATTATAGGCTTGAGCCACTGCACCTGGCCCTCTGAACATTCTTTGTACATACCTTTTAGTGGGCAGGGGCACAAATTTATCTTGGTTCTATATCTCAATATTGAATTGCTAGGTCAGAGGGTAGATATATGGTGAACTTCTGTAGATACTGCCGAGCAGTTTTCCAACGTGTTTCTTTCAGCTTATCCTCTCATCAGCAGTAGGAGAGTTCCAGTTTCTCCACATCCTCACCAATACTTGGCATTACCAGTCTTTTTTTTTTCTTCTAGTCATTCTGATAGGTATGTGGTGGTATCTCACTGTGGTTTTGATTTGCATTTCCATGATTAATAAAGTTAACCACCTTTCTATATTTATTGGCCATAGGAATATCCACTTTTGTGAAGAGTCTTCTCTTTATTTTTTTTTTTGGTCTATATATTTAGTAGGGTGATCTATATTTTTAGAGTTTTTAAAATCCTATCAGGTATATGCAATTGGTGCCTTCAGATGAAGTGTTCACTGTTTTTGTGTCTGTCTCCACCCTACGACTGTTAAGTTCCAGTACAGCAGGGTCTATTTTTGTTCACCAACAAATGCATTCACAGAACCTAGTACCAGGCTTAGCCCACTGAACTTATTTGAATCCAATCATCTGGGACTTCTGGGATAGATTTGACATTGAGTATCTTCTCCCTTGTTCATTCATTCATTTGCTTATTTGCTCTCAGGCTGCCCCCTCTATCCTCACCTTTCTGTGCCTGCAACATCATGTAGCAAGGTCATATAGATTCAGATCCCCATCATAGTCCTCACACTTTTTACCAGCTGACTTCCTATTAGGATCTGCCAGTGGGAGGCACCGGTGGGAGATGGAGGGTGGATGGGGAGGAGAAATGACTCTTTCTACTTCAGATTTCTGACAGCATCTTGGGTGGTAGTGGCTGCAGCATTGGCAACAGTAACATTAGTGACAAAAGGTCAGGTGGTGGTGGCTGCAGGGGCAGCCATACAAGGCTGGAAGTATAGGCTCCTGGATCCTCTTCAGGAGTCCTATTGACAGTTTTCTGGCCTCTGAGTAATTTCTGCGCCTCAGCCCAGTGTGGTGTCGATTTTAAGTTACAGTGTCTAATTTCTGAGTAACCTGCCCTTCCCTCTTTTCTCCCTCAATCCTGTAAAAAAACAAACAAACAAAAACAACCTGTGTTAAATCTCCTTCTGTTTGAAATACCTAGAGTGGTCTCTGTTTTCTAGTCAGACTCTGACCAGCACAGTACTTGGTACCAGAAAATAGACACTCAGAGATCTGTTTCTGGCTTGAACTTGAATACAGTGAAGCTCATTTCCAGTGGAAAATGAGATGCTGGTAACACACGGCATGCCATATACTGAGACTTGCAGTCATTTAGCATAATGTGTCCATTAAAGACAAGGTTTAAAGGATCATGTGAATGCTGTACTTGATGTTTATGGTGGTGATTATGACCAAAAAAACAGTCAAGTGAATCGGCTACTACTTATAGCACTGGGTGCTTAGAAAAGAAAATGACAAGCTTGAGGCTTTAAATTCTAAGGTCAAGGCAAGATCAGAGAACTAGAGCATTTCTATAGCAGTCTTTTAAAACTCTTACTTCTTGTAGTAACAGGGCATAATTGACTGCAAATCAGACCCAAAGTTTAATCATGCAGGTTGCAGAATTACAATGTTAAGTTGAATTCATAGATTTGCTAATTCTCTTAGGTGAAATTCAAGGCACTGATTGGAAAGGAATGAGATACCGATATCTGGAATGGGGATATTTGAGTAGGTCAAATCTGAGAATCATCCACCTACAAATCCTTAGGCCTCCCTTGCAGAAGCAGCAGGCACTTCTGTCTGAAGAGAATAGCTTTTTCTCGTCTGAATAATAACCTCTCCTATTAAGTTGCCTTACAAGAAAAGCAAGACCCACCCTGACAACCCCTTCTTGCCTTCATACCCATAACTAGAGTTAGATATCAGCGTTCCTAAGAACAAACACAAAGTCTGACTTAGGAAAAAATAAATACAAACTAAAACTATGATTAATTTATGCTAGCAACAAATCACCAACTAAGTACCAAGTATGTAAGTCTACTAATCTATAATACAAACCTAGTGTGGAAATGAATTCTAAAGTGTTAGACTAAATGGACAAGATGTGACTATGACATCAGATCAGGCCACATGTACTGACAGGGGTGTGGTTAATGAAGATTCCGAATTGTTTTTCAACTCAAGCTCTTGGAGTATCTCTGTTTAGTTGACTGACCAAAACCTAGGCTCAATAGTAGAGGGACAGAGGCTCAACAGATGCAATGAGATGGAGAAGCCTAACTTAACGAAGAGGAGGGAAGCCAAAGGCTTAGGAAGAAAGGAACACTGAGACGGATTTATGTTAGGTGACACAAATCCACAAACTACATTTTTAGTAGGTCCCAAAGTATACTCCCTTTTACTAAGGCATTGAGAGATGTGTTGTTAAGAAGACCAGCATATATATTTTTTGCATATATATTTCACTGTTGCCCAGCCTGGAGTGCAGTGGCACGCTCACAGCTGCTGCAGCCTCAACCTGCTGTGCTCAGAGTGACTCTGACTTACTCTCGGCCTTCCAAGTAACTGGAACTAAAGGTGCATGCCACCAAGCCTGGCTAATTGTTTTGATTTGTTGTAGAAACGAGGTCTCACCAAGCTGCCCAGACTGGGCTCAGGCAATCCTTTCCCTCTGACTCCCAAAATGCTGGGATTACAGGCATTAACCATTGCACCCAGCTTGACCAGTGTCTTCAAAAAAGTCATGCAGTGGCTACTTTCTGAAGGTTAGGGTTGATGATCACTGGTTTCAATGGGAATAATGTGATTCTAAAGCACCAAAGGCCGAGTGGCAGCACTGAACTGCCACAGGCAAGGCTGATGCAAAAACTGCCAAGGATAGTAAAGACGAAGCCCCTAGGAACAAAATAGATGGACTACTGAGTTATTTAATATACAAAAAAAAACCCCAAAAAACAAGTGAACAGAAATCTGTATTTACCACAATGAGCATCAAGGTTGTCACCTAGTTCCAAGACCCAGAATCTCTTGACAGAAAGGGAGGAGACTTACCATTAAGGAAGGTCCCAGCAAGATGGCCACAAAAAGACAAAACAGTAAAACTTCCTTCAAATCTTCTCAAACATGTTGGCAGCCATAGATCAGAATAGCTGTGCACTGGGGGTTAAGAGATATATACATGTTTCAGGGATCATTCAACACTGACTCTGTGTTGACACTAATCTCTGGATACTCAAAATGCCATTGTGCTCACCAAAGTGAGAGCTTATGAAGTGATAGATGGAGTTGTGGCCTGAATCCATCTCAATGGAGGAGTAGGGAGAGAAGGCTGTCAAGGCACTGGAGTGGGCTGAGAATCTATCCTGGGGAGATAGGACAAGGCATAAGGTAAGGCCTAAGCCCTTGATGCATGCTCCATTAGCCCAACAGACTTTACCTATGCATTTACTTAATACACTCTCAGACCAGAAAAACAGTCTTAGTAACACAGATAGCTGCAATGAATAATCTTGTACATGTATTTCTATAAGGTTGGAAGTATACCTTTAGGGTAGATAAGTAAAAGGCTTGCAGCTCTTAGTGGTATTGATTAGCAATTGTGTAACCACTTTGGTGTATTAAGTGAAGAAGGCAATATTGAGGATAATTGGAGTCAGGTTTCTCAGTATCAGAGAAGAGAATTTCAAATATGGAAAGGACACAGATTAGAATGATCCTGTGGTGTCGAACTGAAATTGAAGATATCATCATGAACTCATGGTAGGTACAGGTAAATAGATATGTACAGCTATGTAAATGCACTATCTGTACATATACACATAAACTCCCCAACTCATCTGTGGGTACAATTTAGAAGCAATGAAACCCCAGCAATGAGCACACCTAGTGTCCAGATTTTGGTTTCTAGATACCATTCCTCACCAAAAGGAACCCAGGCTCCTTGGAGAAATGACTAATTCCATATTTGAGAAAGTAAAAATAGATGATGTGCCTAGAATGTGCTCAGAGTATGAGTAAGAAAGTGCTCAAAGTATGCTGGAGATATGCAAAAGGACATGGAAGCCAGCTCCAAATGGACTATTTGTGCACCAAAAAAATATCAGATAATGGTTGTTACACACTACATATGAATGTGTGTGTGCATGAAAAGCTCTGCCTTGGCCAGGCACAGTGGCTCAAGCCTGTAATCCCGGCACTTTGGGAGGCTGAGGTGAGGGGATTGCCTGAGCCCACGGGTTCTAGAACAGCCTGGGCAACTTGGCAAGACCTCATCTCTACAATAAAAAAAATAAAAGACTTAGCCAGGCGTGATAGCACCCACCTGTAGTTCTGG